CACGGACTTCGTTTTTTTAATGTTCTAATTTTACACAGATGCTTTGCAATCGGCAAAATATATAAATTACAAACCTTTGTTCTTGTTATTTTCATGCAACTTTTGAAAAATATTTTTTTTATTTTTCATTACAAGTTAATGGTATATTTTAATATCAATAAAATATATATGTTAATATTACGTTTTCATTTGATTTGAGCAGATTAAAACTGCACAGCAAGTGATAATTCATGCGAAATCTGAAGCTGAAATCTGCCATAGACTTCCAAACCATTGTTAATGCTATTAACCGAATCACGTCGTCAACTACGCCGTCAAAAAAGTAGTCCACCAGCAATTTGTTTTCAAAATGTCATATAAATCGCCCTGTTCCGGTATACATGTACGACACAGAAGTCCAAGATATTGTGTTGAAATACATTTTCTAGCCTTATTTGAGTACATTGGCCTCAGTCGGAAACAGTGGCTTAGATCATGCAGTGTGAATATCATTGCTAATGATAGTATGACCAACGCGTGGTTATACTTACGCGAAAGCGATAATTATTTTTTATCACATACGTTTCGTAGCAAAACAGGGGAAAAGTCATTTGATGCCGCCCTAAATGACCCTTATTTGCTAGCAAGCCAAAAGTTCACAGATCTCTATAATATACAGATTTCTGTAGATAAACATAATTTGAAATCGTATTTCAAGTGCGTAGACTAGGCCCAATTGTTGATGCAATTTGAAAAAAATATATATATTTCAAAGTGCGTTGAATTTGTCCAAAAATTAACGCGATTTGAAATACTTTTGCGAAGTGAGTAATTTTTTTTCAAAAAGGGCTGTAACAATGTATACATCTACACTTTTCTATTAATGTATCAATGATTGTACGAGAGACACACACGTAAACAACACCTTTTAATAATGTAGAGTTAAATAAAGAAACAAACGATGGATTGAACAATATCATGCAGTTTTATCCTTTTTTCATCCTTCTAGGATTAGTCAGTGATTCTAAGGACCTAACTTTTGAAGCAAAGAAGAAAACTGAAGAATATCGAAAGAGAAAAAGTCAAAAGTCAAAATCTGGACGTGGAGCTTCATCATCCCCATCATTAAATAAAGTTCGTAGTTTTCATTTATCAGGTAGTTTTAAAACAACGCCAAGTACATGTGTATATTCTGAACAGTGTCACTATTCGAATGAATTAAAATATGGCGTAAAGGTTTCGGCAAACCTCGGGAACGTGAAATCCGCCTATAGTGTTTACCAATTGCTCTCTCAAAGATTGTACAAACACACGAAACGAGAACAAAATATATCGTAAAGGCTTAATAGCTTAAGTATCACTCAAATACTCTTTTATCTTTCGAAATAGTCGGAGTCTTTGGAAATTGGGTAGGAATCTGCCACATATAGATTACGTACAAAAATTACCAAAATAAACGAGGGTTATGTTTTAAAATTTTATAATATCTTAGGATCACAGTTATAAAAAACTGCAATGTTTAATCATGACGTTCAGACATGTCAGTGTTATCGCAACTGTATTTAGAACAAGACATGCCTCCTACGAACTCCTTGAAACATATTCTACGGCATTGAAGAGAGTATATTTGGAACAATATGTGATGCGATTAAACAGAATGAAAAATTATAAGACCTTAATTCTAAATGCAAAAGTGTATTTATCTGCTCATTGTCACAAAAAAAATCTGCTCATTGTAAAAAAAACAAAAAAAAAAAAAAAAACAGGTCGACAATAATCCGAATGCATAGATATGGTATTTATAAAATCCATGTCTATAATATACACTTAAGGGAACATTTCTCACAGAAAAGATCTCACCTTCAGCTTCATCTTTTGAGATACACTGCTTCCACAGTTTTTCCGGGAAATGGAAGGTATCATTATAAAGATCTTATATCAATAATATTACTTATTTTTCACACTAGAGTACGTGGTACCTTCGCGTGGGTAAAGATGACGTCAAAGAGGGTTCAGAACATGACCATCACTTTCCCTACATGCGACATGATTCATCACAAATAGATATGAAATAAATTATCCCATGTCAGTAAGCTATATGTACTCATAGTAGGAAAATACACTCGGTTAACTTATTCAGCCGTTTTCAAACATCAAAGACGGAAACATTTAACAAAACAAAACAACAGAAGTTATATCTATGTTTTTTTAAAATGCATGTGTTGTTTTTATATTGACATTTTTTTCGATTTTTCATGGTTTGTTTTCGTGTTGTTTTTACCCATATAATTTTACCACTTCTGGTTCCTCCTTTTTCTCTTTTTATTATGGCAACCAAATCGCATACACAAATATACACAAATATATATGTATATGTCGCAGGTGTGGTTGGTATGGTAGTTTTCAAATTTCCTACTTCGACGATTTCCTGCCGTAGATCGTGAGTTCGAGACCCAGATAGGTCACGAGTCAAAACTTATCTTCCTTCGTTAATTGTATTACTATGTTCAAATACATCTATAAATACTAGCGGAAAAAAGAAACTGCATTGGTACAATATGCTATAACTTAGGAGGTTTATAAGACATCGCTAACAAAATTCAACAGGGTTTTATCTTCCCTTTATTTAATACCAGCTAAATTGACATGGTTATTGCATCAGCAGCGTCTTGGATAAAGATCAGTTTTCACCGACGTTATCTAAACAAAATTCAGCTCATTAATAACGTGTACGTCCACCATTAGAACTGATGCATGCTCGACAACGACGCCTCATTGATGCGAAATGCGTGTTGAAAAATGCCTGCAAAATACTATTCCAGATTTTCACAAGCACACGTGACAGGTCAGGTAATATCAACGGCTGATTTAGGAGGCGACGCAAGCGACGCTGCATCTCATTCCACACGTATTCTATAAGCGACTTCTCCGGAGATTTTGCAGGCCAGTGATGTACAGGTGACAGCTCGCGCGGCATGCTGTACGAACGGAAGGACGTGAGGCCAGATAGTTTCGTCACGGTATCTGATGCCTGTAAGCGGGTCGTCCACAACCACAAGAGCTCTTCTGCCACGGAATGAGATGCCAACCCACACCATGACACAACCTCTGCCAAATGGACTCGTTGAATCACACAACTGTCATGGAAATGTTAACCAAGACGGTATACTCTATAACCTGAAACCTAGACTCATCCGTGAAAAGAGCACGTGCCCAGTCCTGTCGCGTGAAGAGTACTTGTCGTCTACACCAGACTAAACGTGCAGATGAACGACCAGGAAATACGTATCCAGGTGATTAGATGTTACGTGTGGATGTCCTGTCCGGTCTCTGGTGGTCCGTAACTGTTGGTACTCTCCACAAGGCGTCTGCAATATTTCGATGCACACCAAATTGTCTGGCAACGACAGTATGTCGTTCACCAGCTTCGATCAAGGCAACAGCGTTGGCATTTGTCAGTTTCATTCAACCTTGGCATGGCGTATCAAGACGTTTTATTTATTTTTTTTTTAATTATGCTGTTTTTGTATATTACATGTTCAGGCGACAAACGTGTTTGCAGTTTGACCGCTGGCCGAAAAAGACCGTGAAAACGAATACATGGGCCAGACAGACCCACTACCCGTGCAACTCATACACTGACCAGTGTAAACCACAGAGAGGCATATACAACTTAACTGTGTCAAGTTTTAATCTTTAATTAATAACACTGAAGAATACACGAACATTCTATGCATGCACAGTTTCTTTTCCGTTTGCATATGGAGTGAAAATTTGTGAACTAAAAATAAACGTTGAGCTGTAGTTATTATTACTATTATTTTTTCAATGGATGTGTAAATGAATTTTAATATATCACTATAAAATGGTTTTATCGAATTTCACAAATTCAATGTTTTTAAACTCAGTAAACAGTAGTGTAGAATGTTTAATATATAAGTCAGATCATATTTCTGCAAAATATTATAATGGATTATAACTTAGTCAAGCCAGAGCATTAGGCGAATAAAGTATACTTGGATGCTAGTCATTGTGTTAATGCGGGATCATTTCAGGTAATTTCATTACCTTTTTGAAATAAAGTAAATACCAGGTAATAAACATCACCTGTTAGTTTTATTTTTTCTAATCAGTATAAGTAATCCGATAACATCTGCAGCTAGAACAATCATCCTGATGATAACTAATACCCCCCACAGATGCAAAGACCTCTATATACCAAAAATACAAAACTCCACGAAAATATAAATTAAAAAAAAAAACTGAAAATTAATCAGAAAACGCAAATTACGTTGTCATAGAAACTGTTTCTAAAACACCTAATGTATCCTTCTGCAGGCTTACTATTTGGGCATAGCCAAATAACAAAATATGTTAAAAGACCAAGGAGTAATGACCATTTATAGTATAACTTGGTTACAGTTGTCAGTTACCATGGCAACCAACATTTCGGGGAAATCACAACAGAAAAATCCATTTTATGCTAAACGGTACTGTTCAACGAAGGTGTGAACTAAATTTCTTTTCAATTGGATGCTCGGAAAACAGTTATTTTCAAAATGCATATCATCGGACTAAATTGTGTTCATTTAAAATATAAAAGGGGGATCGCCATATTTTACTGGACATTCCCACAAGATTTTAAAAAGATCCGTTATAAAGTGAGTGAATGCATTAGCCGGACAAATTTCGTTTACGAAAGAACGGACGGATGGAACCCATTTGAATATATCCCATAAACACGTGTCGCGGAAGGAATAACGGTTATCCATTATTACCCATGACACGAGTAGTCTACATCCGTTGACAACTTCAGTATTTAACTTTTATATTAAATCAAGTAAGAGCTGATAGAAGCAGCGATATTTTTCGTAAAACATTCCACTCTAATTTCTGGGAATTAGTGTCGTGCTACCTATAAATCCGTCGCAGGCAACTTGGAGTGATCTCCCCTAGTATTTTTCTCGTCACGTGACTTTTGGTGTGTTGTCAAGGCGCCATATTCCGTTTGCGAATCAACCATGGAGGTGTCAACGAAGACTCCTCCAGAAAAACCGAGTACATCGGAGACTATGAATGCGTCAGAGTCTGCTCGCATTATAGAGAGTTGTAAAATTCGGATATTGAAAGTGAAAGCAATCAAAGATGCCGTTAAAGAATGCGAGTAAGTTTAATTTTACTTTTGTTTGAAGAGTGGTGTTACAGAACGCCATGTAAGTTGGTTATTCAATGGTGTAACGTTAATCAGGGATATATCTGTAATATAATCTGTATATTTTGATATAATTTGACTGAAGTTTAGACCCCTACATCTTTAGGGCCGAATTTCGCCTAGCAATATGCGTTATCAACGCTATTTTTAAAAAAATGACCTTGGGTTATCTAATGGCTTCCATTTATCACAGGAGTAAGTTACAATCTTATGTCCATCTCAAAATCTCAGGCGTTTGAAAAGCATTATAGTATTGTGAAAAGATATGCCCAGAATACTGAGATGAACGAAGATTTATTTTTTTAATATTGTCTTTGACATTCATAAACAGCAGTTACCATAATTTGTGCTTTATCAGCATGTTGTAAACTTTCTTTATTATTAAACAAGAAGATGAATTTTACATTATACTACACCATATCATGTTAATAAATACTATGTGTTATGTAAATTACACACAGTTTTTTTAATACAAGTAAATCCAAGTTAATTTTACAATACATAGTACTAGACTTGGATGATTAATAAAGCAGCATCTGAGGGATCTTCAAGCTCTTTATATTGTGAATATTGTTTCTACAGTTTCATTCATTACATTAAATCAAATCTAAGGTCCAATTGTTCAAGATACATTTTATTGTCATGATCAATATGCCTTTTACTTTTTTTTGTTAAATGACTCTACAGCTAATTTTTTCATATTGTAATAGTGACCTATTTCTTGTTATTTTGCCTCCTACTTTTCAGATCTGCATCCATGCTTAGGGACCTTTACAGAAACAGGTTGTCCTATGAAACTTCACATCTAGAAACAATGGAAAAACGAAGAAATGCTATTTTGAAAATAGTAAAAGAAAATAGTAAGTAGTTGTTTTGTTTATTTTTTTTGGAGTTTTGAATATCACACTTTAATATTTCCCTTTCCTGATTTTGTCATTGGATTATTCTTCTACAACACAGAGTTTAAAGTTTAAAGTATTCACAATTGAAGAGTTCCAGCTCTTTTGGAAAGTGTAGGGCTGAAAGTCACACACAGAACCTCACAAATACACATATATTTAAATATATATATCAAACTCCAATACCATTACAACAAGTAATTCAAATCTTGAACCTCCGGACCAACAACATTACGGTGTATGAAGCATTTTGTTTATTTATCTATATTTCGGAAATTGTAAATAAGTATTACTAATACAACTGATGAAGGGCCAAATTCATAATCTAAGGCACCAAATTACCTTGCCAACAAATTCCAGACTGCCTATCCATAACACCATCTTGTGTTACAATGTCCAAAATATATATAGATCTTCAATTTTTAGTTGCCATGTTAACATTTTGTTTTCATATCTATATGTACAATATGCAAAGCATTTCTCTTATTTTGATTGTATGCACCATATACCTTCCATCCATATGAGATCCTCTTCTCAATACACACACTTTTTAAAGGGGACGGGAGAGGGGGGTAGAAAGATGCAGTAGAAAACATATCAACACACGACCAAGTAAACCTACTTGTAAAGGCAGGGTCAAATAAACCTACACATCAACACAGGGTCAAATAAACCTACAGTTCAACACATGGTCAAATAAACCTACACATCAACACAGGGTCAAATAAACCTACATATAAACACAGGGTCAAATAAACCTACATATAAACACAGGGTCAAATAAACCTACATATAAACACAGGGTCAAATAAACCTACACATCAACACAGGGTCAAATAAACCTACATATAAACACAGGGTCAAATAAACCTACACATCAACACAGGGTCAAATAAACCTACACATCAACACAGGGTCAAATAAACCTACACATCAACACAGGGTCAAATAAACCTACATATAAACACAGGGTCAAATAAACCTACATATAAACACAGGGTCAAATAAACCTACATATAAACACAGGGTCAAATAAACCTACATATAAACACAGGGTCAAATAAACCGACACTTAAACATAGGGTCAAATAAACCTACATATAAACACAGGGTCAAATAAACCTACATATAAACACAGGGTCAAATAAACCTACATATAAACACAGGGTCAAATAAACCGACACGTAAACATAGGGTCAAATAAACCTACACATCAACACAGGGTCAAATAAACCTACATATAAACACAGGGTCAAATAAACCTACACGTAAACATAGAGTCAAATAAACCTGTACATCAAGTATACCTACAAGAAAAAAAAAACAAGGTTAAATATCCCTACACATAAATACAAGGCCAGGTATAACTACACTTCTCTATTTTATTAACCAAAAGGATAAACAACACAAAATACTAAAATGTATTTCACGGTGACAGAGGCATCGTGACTCATTTATTAAACAAACATGTAAATCATACACTAATCTGTTACACAATATACAATGTATGTATATATATGTCACTCCTTTCATTAATAACTATTACATTTTACCGCAACAGAAACCCCACACAGATGAACTTCTATTACATTTTACCGCAAAAAAAAAATCTCCATCTCCGTGCGTCCCTACCCGTGCCACCTGAATGACACGTACAGGTAACATGCAACAATACGGCCCTAGTCTTGATTTGGACGTGCAAATCATACACATAGCGCCCCCTATTGGCGACTCATACAACAGAGAAAATAATTTCATCCTAATTCCAACTCGTCAAACGGTTGAAATTATATATATTCCTACACATTAATACAAGGCCAGATATAACTAAACAGTCAAAGAGGAACCATTAAACATTCACATCAATTTAGTTTCAAATAATCTTACACTGAAAGACAAGGAAAAGTTTCTTTCTAATTTTTTGAAAATGTTTTCATTTTTCAGTCACCAAATTCCCCAAGCATAAGAACTTTTTGCAGACATATGCTGCTGAATTTGAAAAAGCTGTAATTCTACAGCAGTCACTTGTGACCAAATTAGGCGAGGTTGATGGACCATATGAAACAATAAAAAGGTGAGTTATTTGTGTATTGTCAAAATTTTCTAACTGTCACTTAGACTGAGACAGTATGTCACATTTAGCAACAAAAAGTCAAAAGAATGTCAGAAAACTTTGATCTAAAGATTCATTATGTGATCAGTTTTTTTGTCTTATAGTGGAATATTTTTCATCATTTCTCTGCAGGTCATCTGAATTGATATTTACTTTTATATAAGCTGTTTCTTCTACTGTTACAATAATCTTGAAAAGACCAAAAATAAGCCAGTCAGGTACATTGTTTTGTATTATATGTCTGTTCATTAAATTGTTTACAAATATTTTCAAATATTGCTTCCTTGTCAAGTAATGAGCCTACTCACAACATACAGTAAGATGTAAATGTACTGCTGCCACACTGAGAAGATCTACCTAACACTTTAAGTTAATCCTGGAACATTTAATAAAATTGTTAGTGTTGAAGTACATCAGCAAGTTCTCTTTGAGTTGAATACAGTAACAGGTTCTAAAAATGCAATAATCACAATTTACAGTTAATTTTTACAATTTAACAAAAATCTGCAATATCATTCGATAAATTCCAAACATTTGTAATTGTTGAAATACCTTTGGGTATAATTGGACACAGTCCTGTCAGCAATACACGACTTGTTATATTTCTCTACTGTGTCAATCTCTTCAAAAATCTTTGATCAGATCTTTTATGGTAAGACATTGTCCCTTTGTCCGTCCATTCATCCATCCATTCCTCCATTATTAACACTTTTTATTTCTCTTTTTTTTTTTATTTGGGGTTATAGCTTAGGTTAGCTGATTATAGCTTAATGATAGTCTGTGTATAATAATGTCTTAAAATATACAATATGCATACAATGTAATAGCAACTTTTTTTTGATAGATGGTTGGAATTGCCTGCCACAAAATCTCAGCCAGAAGATTGGAAAAAGCAATATGTTGGCCTCCGTGAAGAACATGGAAAGAAAGTCACGCAGCTTAAAAAAGAGAAAGAGGTAGGGAGAGAGAGATAAAAAGAATCTTTCTCCGATTAGGATGAGACTTGAGTAAATTACTTGTAAATTTAATTTTTTTTTGTGCACACTAAGAAACATTTTGTGAGCTTGATACATCAATAAGCTTTGACTTTCTCCATTATTTGCAGGTTTTTCAAAATCTGTGTTGAGGTTAACTCCAGTTATAGACCAATACTGAATGCTGGCATGTTTCACTAATTAATGGTGTATAATGGCTTTAAGAAATGCATGGTCACTCAGACTTCTGTCAACTTATATCTCATACTGTGTGAACATTTCATATAAAGTATAGCAAAGATATTATTTTAAAATATTTAGGTGCTGAAAAATACAATTCAGCAACTGGAACAGTGCAGGAGGAAATTGAGTGATCTTCAGACCAATATCAATATTGAATTGAAGATGGCTGTAAGTGTATCTGCAAAACAGATGAAGGCAAAGAAAGCTCTGAAAGGGCTGAAGAAAGAGTTGATCAGTCGGCGTGACAAGTCTAAAGAACGATATGAAGACTTAATGGAAGAGGAAATTGAAATTCGTGGAAGACTTGTAAAGGTAAAATTGAGATTAAATAGTACTTTAACATGCATTGACTCTGCTTTCTTGTGATAGTTTATTGATGATATTGGCAACTTTTTAAATTTTATCCACCAAAATAAATATTTGTCTATTATTCTACTTCATGATTTCAGATATTCACAAAAAATGTTCCTTTCATGCTACCAAAGTAAATGATGCAAAATGTTATTTTTGAGAGCATTATTAAACAACCTTCACAAATATAGATATCAAAGATTATTAGGTCACCTGTAATGTTTTCTATGTAACTTTTACTTTGACCTTCATTTGATGACTTACATCAAAATTTATAACATCATAATGTAATTGTTTACGAAAAAAGGCAACATCTCTAAAGATACATCTTCACACATTTATTGCAATATTGCACAATTCATGAACTGCTAATTGCTCTCTTCATCAATGGCTCAATTTATCAGTAAATTTTGTATTAAGTGAGGCACATATTCATATTAGTTTATATTGGGACAAAAATTTGGATTGAACATTGAATATAGATCTATATCATAATCAAATACTTGAGACCAGTGGTTCTTAAGTAGAAAATACAAAAAGTTTTTTTTTTATTATTTTGCTGACTTTTCACCCTTTGATTTGAACACACTATAAAGGCCTCAAGAATCTCAAATGTTTTGCCCTCATGTTCTGTGACCATAGTAGAAATGTTGTCCATTGCTTTTTGAAAAAAAAATACATGGGACATATATGGACATATCAGTAGATGGCTGTTCCAGGAGTTACTCTAGATATTTATAAATTAGTACTTTGGGAAAGGAACCTTTATAGAAATTAGGACAATATCTATGATTAGCTTTCCTGAAATTGGAGTTGGGGTTGGATTAACCCTAAGATAATAATCCAGACTCTTGCAGTGCTTAAATAAACTGATAAAGAGGTTCGATGTATTACCGTATGTATCATACATTCTCCCTCCTACTTGGCTAAGGGAGATAATCACGTTGTCTGGAGTTGTATCCATTGTACATCCATCTGTGTGTTCATAGTGTTCAAAGCTTGTATGAAAAGTCTCTTATGAACGGAACCCAGACAGATTTAGTTTATATTCATGCCATATTATCACACCATGAAGTTCAACACATGATTAGAATTTGGTGGTCATCAAACCAATGTGAAAGGTCAAATGTCAAACTTGGTGGTGAAAGGTTGAAAGTCAAACTTGACAACATTTGAATTAGAAAGCCTGTATACAAGATAAATCTCATGATGATGAACCCATAACAATTTAAGTTTCTATTTACATTGTGACATCACACCACTAACTTAAATGCCTGATCAAACTTTGGTGGTTGAAGGTCAGAAGTCAAAGGTCACAATTGACCACATTTGAATTAAAGGACATGTATACAATAGTCCTTGATTCCTATGACCGAAAAAAAGATCAGGAGAATGGGGAATATGTTTATGTGAGTCTTACTTTGTTTTTATTTGTTTCATTACAGGATATAACAAAGATTTCTGAGGAGTTGGAAGCCTTCAATGAAGAACGAATTGGAGTTATCAATAGAACTCTTGCTCGATTTTCCTTGATCCTGAACAAACAGGAAACTAACAGGTATAGTATCAAGTTAGCAGTAATCTGTCATCAGTAAAAATCTCCATGGATCTTATACCAACAGTATATTTGCAATGGGTGTATTTTCCCCATGTTATTGAAATGTCTCCTTTGTTCATCAAATCTTTGACCTTAATACATATCTGCAGGTGTTATAAAATTTGTGTTTCAGAAGGGAACTAAAAGAGGCAACATTTGATCTGGTAGCAGCAGCTTCAACCAAATATAAGAAATTACCGGATAGAACACTGACGGAGCAAAACAAGAACTGCTGCAACTACAAATTCCCAAACTTCGCTGTAAGTGAGAATTTAAAACTTCCAATACAAAAAAATCCATTGGAATGAAGAAATGTAGCCTATTGCTTGTTTTAATCATTTTTATTTAAGATTTCCTTTAATTTTTTAAGAAAAAATAACATTTTTTGTAGTTTTCAGTATATAACAATTGAAACAAAATAAAGAACAATAATGTACACAGAAAAATATCTTAGCTCACAATCATCAGATGATGCAACATTCATTCAAGTTGCCCTGTGTCCATTGTCTGTCATCTATCATTCGGTGTCTATTACCCGGAGTCCATTCTTCTGTTCTTGAGCAACTCTCTCTCTTTTTTGTGTTTTTTTTTTTTTAAATCTTCTTTAGGTTGGCATTATCAACTGAACAGAAAGTCTTAACACACATTTCGATGACTACACAGTCACCTGCATCAGCAGGCCAATACTAAACAGGGATGAGGGGAGCCACAATAACTACATTACATTGTTACCCTCTCATCACACCATTATCAACCTCAGCGTACATAGGATTATAGTGCAGCTGAAAAGTTGGTGGATTCCTTACCATCTCGTACACTGCGTACCTCAGTGCTAGCGCATCTCATATTGTTTTATTTGTTTAATGAAGGTGACTGTGTAGTCAAGGAAACGTCATACTCAAATATTCTATTCCAACTTTCTTCTTGTTGCAATTTCTTTAGAAGTAATGAATGGCCCCTTAGTTGTGCATTAACCCGTTTCCATACTGCTTCAAAAAACAGATGGCCAAGATGAAGCCATCTTGAATTTTGGCTGTAATAGTTTGCCACCACTGTTTCTTTAGAAATTCTGTATGGATTTTTTTCAAATGTCATAAGTTGGTTTCCCTTGGTCCCTAGTTTTGCCCTTTTGATTTTGAGTCTGATTTTAAGAAAAACAGAATGGTAAGAGGATGTCTATGGATTCTAACAAAGACAGTTTGTTTTTGCTATTTGTTACGATTAACTGTGTAGATCTATCTCAAATTTCATATGTAGGTACCCCTTCACTGGTTCCTTCTTGTGCATTATGCCATTTTCTAATTGATCCAGAAAATGACATGGCAAACAAGTGGATTTTGACAGTTATAGTCTGTTATCACTGATAGGTTTGATTTTGATATTGAAAGTTTGTCTTATGTATTCTTGAAAGGTTCTGGATGATTGTCTAAAATTTAATATGCAGGTTTACCTTGGTACCTTGTTGAGCCCCTCTGATTCTGGGGCTGTCAGAAAAGCAAAATAATGACATGTGACCATCATCTATTTAAGGATTTGTCAGCTCATTTCTTGAGGAATTCTCATTAAACTTATAACACTTATAAAGCATTCAAATATCTTGTACGGCTTTGAATTTTGAGTTGTTGAGTCAAGGTTACAGTTACTATTTCTGGAAATTCTCTTGTGACTACATTCACAGTAAGATTTTGATCAAACCTCACATTATTCCATTAAAATGAGTAGCAAACTACTTGTATACTTTGGGTTTTTTTCTCAAAACAACACCATGTTGATAATATAACAGCTATTTAGGTATAAATGCTCTACCAACTGAACTATTGCATCCCCCAGGTAGGATAACAAAATGGTCAAAATTTTATCCTATTGCAAGGATCAAGTTTTAGTTATCTAAATAGAAATGTAGAGATCTTATGACACAATCTTCACACATTTTAGGAACATCTGAAAGCAATGTTACCAGAGAATACATCAGCCCAGGAGGCAGATTCACAGCCTGGCACAGGCTCTGAAGACACCACAAAAACTTCCTCAGCTGAGGACCGTGAGCAAAGCTTGACAAAGTCTTCATTAGCTAAAAATGTAGAGCAATGTTCAATGAAGGCATCCTCTTCCAAAGATACAGAGTACAGCTCACTGAAGCCTTCCCTCTCCAAAGATAAAGAGAACAGCTCTGAGAAACCTGGCTCCTCTAAGGATACTGAGTACAGTTCACTGAAGCTCTCCTTCGATAAAGATTACCACACGCCAAACTCTTCCCCATCTAAAGATTCAGATGGTAAAGTAAAGAAACAAACAGTCGAGGATGAAGATGAAACAAAACGGGTAAAAAAGGTCAAGAAAGCTGTAAAGCAGGATGTAAGCCCTACAAAAAAAGTATCAAGTAGGAAAGTTGCACCTAAATCTGCTGAAAGTGAAGATCAACCAGAAAGAAACTTGCCAAACCCAACCCAACAAAATGAGGGGAAAAAACCAAAGAAAAAACTGCCTCCTCCACCCCAGCAAGATGAGGATCAACCAGAGCATAACTTTCCTAATGGGCCTGAGCAAAATGAGGAAAAACCAAAGAGAAAACTTCGTCCTCCACCTCAGCAAAATGAGGATCAACCCGAGCATAACTTTCCTAATGGGCATGAGGAAAATGAGGAAAAGCCAAAGAGAAAACTTCGTCCTCCACCCCAGCAAAATGAGGAAAAACCAAAGAGAAAACTTCGTCCTCCACCCCAGCAAAATGAGGATCAACCAGAGCATAACATTCCTAATGGGCATGAGGAAAATGAGGAAAAGCCAAAGAGAAAACTTCGTCCTCCACCCCAGCAAAATGAGGAAAAGCCAAAAAGAAAACTTCCTCCTCCACCCCAGCAAAATGAGGAAAAACCAAAGAGAAAACTTCCTCCTCCACCCAAGCAAAACGAGGAAAAACCATCCCCAAACCAGGACGAGGATGCACATGATAACCCTGAAAAGCCACCTCAAATTCCTAGAAATGATTGGGCAAGCAGTGATGAGGATGATGATTTTCCTGTTGGAGATTATCAACAGCCAGATCATATCGTGTTTGAATTGGATGTAGTTCCTCCTTCTGGCCGAGGTGAAGCCCTTGAAAAATTTCGCCCCCTGAAAGCACTTTTGTCTCACAGAGCTACAGACAGAACTTTCCTCAGCTTCAAGAAAGGTACATGACCTTGCTATCAGATTGTAGGATCAACTTTAGATTCTTGTGTTTATAAGTAAAGCTTTTTTGGAATAAGAATCTTGTCACGCTTAAACTACTTCTGTCTTACAGAGCTATAGGCAGCTCTTCTCTCAGCTTCAGAGTGAATGCAAAGTCTGCAAATATTTAAAATACATCGATATACAAGTTGAAAACAATGGTCAATTCAGAATCAAATTTAGAAGATCATGTATATTGAAATGAGGGTATTTTATGCATCGTGAAGACGGGATTGGTGGTGGGGAGACATGTGGCATTGCCCATGTCTGTCCTGTTGCATCACATGGTGTCCCACATAATTTGGTCAAACTTTATATAAATGTCAGTTATAAGTATGCTTTGAACATTGCTGTATTTCAGGGGCCAAAGGTCATCCTTGCTATATATAGAAAACTGATTCAATTTAAACACTTAGCAACTTCCTTCTTTCATGGAATTTGGCCAAATTTTTTGCAAGGTTGGTTTACTATCTGCAAGTTCTCGATGGTTTCTTATGTATAATTTCTATCTTATATTCATATTCCCAGGCCAAAAGTTGATGCAGACCCATGTAGCTACAGAGGAAGGCATTGCCTATGGTTACACACGAAAACACAGCTACAGCAAGGTCAAATATGGATACTTCAATGTACGAGAGATGAGAACATGGAAGTCTACCCCAAAGAACATCCTCAAGAACTTCTTCATTTAAGAACTCATACAAAAAAAAATTCAAAATGGAAAAAATCTTCCAAAAAAAAAAAGCAAATTAGAGAGAGAGAGAAAAGAAAGAGAATAAAAATGTGCAAAACTACAAGACCAGCACAATACTGTGTCCTAGTGACACTTGGATAGCACCACCAATAAGAAAAGGTTGGATTCCTTAGATTTTATGTAACTGTCAAAACCTTATGTTGAAAACATGTAATTCACATTAAGCGAAATCAAAGGGCTCTTTGATTTTGAAGTTTTGGCTGTCATGAACTATCTAAAGGGATGATAAACTACAAGAACAGTGTGGTGGATATATCTGTCAAACAGAAGTACTTTTTTCCTTCTCTGCTCTCGATTTGGCAGTTATAAAGGTTTTACTGTATACTTCATGTGGTAGAACTCAACAGCATGATGGCTCCATAGTCATGTGAATCAATTGATCACAATGGATGAATATTAGTCCTTCAGGAAGAAGGCAAAACGAAAAAGTAATGGAAAAGAGAGAGCAGAGAAGGAAAAAAGAAAAATATTGAAAAAAGGGGGAAAAAAGAAACTTCATTGTGTCCCAGTTGAAGCTATCAAAGTTTCTTTAAAAAAGAATGTTTTCAATCAATTTCACATATTTATCAGCTATTTTTAACATATCCATTCAAAATAATGTAAGAAATGATACATCATTGTGTAAATTTTAACTTTGTTGAGTAAGAGAGTCAATTGTGGAATAATTTCTGTCTAGTATATTTGATTTTGTTTCTTGGTACTATTATTGGAATGCTGTCCAATATACATATCATTATTCAAAGGTAAAACAAAAATCAGAGGTTATGTAGCGATATGTAGATAAAAGTTCTGTATAATTATTTTGGAACAACTTTAGACCACTCTGGTATCATGTTTTCAGCAAGATAACTTTGATAATTTTTTTATGAGAATTTTTTGTTGTGTTAACAAAATTACATGATATAAAAGATCAAGGGGCTCTTTGATCTTAAATTTCTGGCTGATTATAATTATCTAGGGACCATAGATTAAAAAAGATTTTGATAAGAATAACTCTATCATTTAGTTCTATAAGGTCTAAGTATACATCTATAAGGCCAAACAGTACTTCTGTTAAACCACAGTATACTTATATCAGGTCAAATTATACTTCTAACAGGTCAAAGTATACTTCTATCAGAACACAGTATACTTCTATCTGGCCACAGTATACTTCTATCAGAACACAGTATACTTCTATCAGGCCACAGTATATTCTATCAGGCCACAGTCTACTTCTATCAGGCCACAGTCTACTTCTATCAGGCCACAGTCTACTTCTATCAGGCCACAGTCTACTTCTATCTGGCCACAGTATACTTCTATCAGGCCAAATTGTATTTCTATCAGGCCACAGTCTACTTCTATCAGACCACAGTATACTTCTATCTGGCCACAGTATACTTCTATCAGGCCAAATTGTATTTCTATCAGGCCACAGTATAATTCTATCTGGCCACAGTATACTTCTATGAGGTCAAAGTTTACTTCTCTCAGGCCACAGTATACTTCTATCAGGCCAAATTGTATTTCTATCAGGCCACAGTATAATTATATCTGGCCACAGTATGCTTCTATCAGGCCACAGTATAATTCTATCTGGCCACAGTATACTTCTATGAGGTCAAAGTTTACTTCTATCAGGCCACAGTATGCTTCTCTCAGGCCACAGTATACTTCTATCAGGCCACAGTATACTTCTATCAGACCACAGTATAATCCTATCAGAACACAGTATAATCCTATCAGACCACAGTATACTTCTATCAGGCCACAGTATACTTCTATCAGGCCACAGTATACTTCTATCAGACCACAGTATACTTCTATCAGGCCACAGTATACTTCTATCAGGCCACAGTATACTTCTATCAGGCCACAGTATACTTCTATCAGGCCACAGTATACTTCTATCAGGCCACAGTATGCTTCTCTCAGGCCACAATATACTTCTATCTGGCCACAGTATACTTCTATCAGGCCAAATTGTATTTCTATCAGGCCACAGTATACTTCTATCAGGCCACAGTATATTTCTATCAGGCCACAGTATACTTCTTTCAGGCCAAATTGTATTTCTATCAGACCACAGTATACTGCTATCTGGCCACAGTATACTTCTATCAGGCCACAGTATACTTCTATCAGGCCACAGTATACTTCTATCAGGCCACAGTATACTTCTATCAGGCCACAGTATATTTCTATCAGGCCACAGTATACTTCTATCAGGCCACAGTATACTTCTTTCAGGCCACAGTATACTTCTATCAGGCCACAGTATACTTCTTTCAGGCCACAGTATACTTCTATCAGGCCACAGTATACTTCTATCAGGCCACAGTATACTTCTATCTATCAGGCCACAGTATCAGGCCAAAGTATACTTCTATCAGGCCACAGTATACTTCTATCAGGCCACAGTATACTTCTATCAGGCCACAGTATACTTCTATCAGGCCACAGTGTACTTCTATCAGGCCAAACTATACTTCTATCAGGCCACAGTATAATTCTAACAGGTCAAAGTTTACATCTATAAGGTCACAGTATACTTCTATCAGGCCACAGTATACTTCTATCAGGCCACAGTGTACTTCTATCAGGCCAAACTATACTTCTATCAGGCCACAGTATACTTCTATCAGGCCACAGTATACTTCTATCAGGCCACAGTATAATTCTATCAGGCCACAGTATACTTCTGTCAGGCCACAGTATAATTCTATCAGGTCTCGGTATACTTCTATCAGACCACAGTAGAATCCTATCAGGCCACAGTATACTTCTATCAGGCCATTTCTATCAGTATAGTATACTTCTATCAGGCCACAGTCAAATTATACTTCTACAAGGTCTATCAGGCCACAGTATCAGGCCACAGTATATTTCTATCAGGCCACAGTATACTTCTATCAGGCCACAGTACGCTTCTCTCAGGCCACAGTATAATTCTATCTGGTCACAGTATACTTCTATCAGGCCAAATTTCAATTAATAAATAAACTACTATTTAAGGCCAAAGTATACTTCTATCAGGCCACAGTAAACTTCTATCAGGCCACATATATTTATATAATAAATAGGCCAAAGTATACTTCTATCAGGCCACAGAAACAGTATACTTCTATCAGACCACAGTATAAACAGTATACTTCTATCAGGCCTTCTATCAGGCCACAGTATGCCACAGTGTGTATCAGGCCACATTGTATATCAGGCCACAGTATTTTAAAATTCTATCTGGCCACAGTATACTTTTATCAAGGCCACAGTATAGTTCTATCAGGCCACATATCAGGCCATTTGTATTTCTATCAGGCCACAGTATAATTCTATCTGGCCACAGTATACTTCTATGAGGTCAAAGTTTACTTCTATCAGGCCACAGTATACTTCTATCAGGCCACAGTATATTTCTATCAGGCCACAGTATACTTCTTTCAGGCCAAATTGTATTTCTTCAGGCCACTATCAGGCCACAGTATACTTCTATCAGGCCACAGTATACTTCTATCAGGCCAAATTGTATTTTTTCAGGCCACAGTAACTTCTCTCAGGCTTCTATCATAAATTGTAGGTATAATTCTATCCACAGTATACATCAGGCCACTACTTCTATCGGGCCACAGTATACTTCTATCAGGCCACAGTACGCTTCCACAGTATCAGGCCAGTTTCTATCAGGCCACAGTATACTTCTATCAGGCCAAAGTATAAAAGGATGCTTCTCTCAGGCCACAGTATATTTCTATCAGTATACTTCTATCAGGCCACAGATTTCAGGCCACAGTATATTCTATACTCACTTTTTTCTATCAGGCCACAGTATACTTCTATCAGGCCACAGTATACTTCTATCAGGCCACAGTATATTCTATCAGGCCACAGTGATTGTACTTCTATCAGGCCACAGTATTTTCTATCAGGCCACAGTATACTTCTATCAGGCCACAGTATCAGACCACAGTATACTTCTACAGTATACTTTCTATCAGGCCACAGTATACTTCTATCAGACCACAGTATACTTCTATCTGGCCACAGTATACTTCTATCAGGCCAAATTGTATTTCTATCAGGCCACAGTCTACTTCTATCAGGCCACAGTATACTTCTATCAGGCCACAGTATACTTATATCAGAACACGGTATACTACTATCAGGCCACAGTATACTTCTATCAGAACACAGTATACTTCTATCAGGCCACAGTATACTTCTATCAGGCCACAGTATACTTCTATCAGGCCACAGTATACTTCTATCAGAACACAGTATATCTAGGCCACAGTATACTTCTATCAGCCACAGTATACTTCTATCAGGCCACGATCAGGCCACTTCTATCAGGCCACAGTATACTTCCACAGTAGTATACTTCTATCAGGCCACAGTATAATTCTATCAGGCCACAGTATACTTCTATCAGACCACAGTATACTTCTATCTGGCCACAGTATACTTCTATCAGAACACAGTATAATTCTATCAGGCCACAGTATACTTCTATCAGAACACAGTATACTTCTATCTGGCCACAGTATACTTCTATCAGGCCACAGTATACTTCTATCAGGCCACAGTATACTTCTATCAGACCACAGTATACTTCTATCAGGCCACAGTATGCTTCTATCAGGCCACAGTATACTTCTATCAGGCCACAGTATAATTCTATCAGGCCACAGTATACTTCTATCAGGCCACAGTATACTTCTATCAGGCCACAGTATACTTCTATCAGAACACAGTATACTTCTATCTGGCCACAGTGTACTTCTATCAGGCCACAGTGTAATTCTATCAGGCCACAGTATACTTCTATCAGACCACAGTATACTTCTATCTGGCCACAGTATACTTCTATCAGGCCACAGTATACTTCTATCAGAACACAGTATACTTCTATCAGACCACTGTATACTTCTATCAAGCCAAATTGTATTTCTATCAGGC